TGTGTCAGAGGCGGTGCAGTTGGCGCAGGGTTGAGCAGGGTTTAGAGCTGTTGTGCATAGGGTCGCTATGAGTCGGAAATGACTCGATGGCACATAACAACAACAACATGGGCAGAACATTGAATGATCTAGGGTGCATCAAAAGAATATGGAAGAAATACATGGAATCACTGTACCAAAAAGAATTGGCTGCCACAGAAGAATTTTCTGAAACAACTTATATTCAAAAGGCAATGGTGATGAAGGAGGAAACTCAAGTTCTGAGGAATTGGCAAAAAATAAGGCTCCAAGAATTGATGAAATACCAATTAATATATTTCAACAAAGAGATGCTGCCCTGGACGTGTTCACCAAGTTAAGCAAAGAAATCTAGAAGATAGTTATCTGGCCAGCTGACTGGAAGATATCCATATTTATTCCCATTCCCAAAGTGTGATCTGACAGAAAATGTGGAAATTATTTATCACATGAAAGAAATCGTGCTGAAGATTATCCCAAAATGACTGGAACAGTACATCAACAAAGAACTACCAGAAATACTGGCTGGATTTAAAAGAGGTGTGGCACTAGGGACATCATTGCCAATGTCAAGTGTCTCTTGTCTGAAAGCAGAGAATAACAGGAGAATATCAATCTGTGTTTCATTGACTATGCAAAGGCATTTGACTATTGACTATGTGGATCACAACATAGTATGGCTAACCTTGAGAAGACTGGGAATCCCAGAACATCTGATTGTGCTCATCAAAACCTATACTTGAAACAGGAGGAAGTAGTCAGAACTGAGCAAGGAAACACTGTATGGTTCAAAATCAGGAAGGGAGAATGCCAGGGCTGCATTCTATCTCCATACCTTTTTCAATCTGTATGCGGAAAAGAAACTTTTGGAGGCTGGTCTTTATGAAGAGGAATGTAGCATAGGATTGGAAGAAGACTCATGAATAACTTGTGTTATGCAGATGGAAAAACCTTGTTTGTTGACACTGAGGAGGATCTGAAGCATCTGCTACAGAAGGTTAAGGTCTGCAGTCTTCCATATGCAATGAAACTCAACATCATGAAAACAAAACTTCTTACCATAATGCCAATTGGCACCACCATGATAGATGGAGAAGAGATTGAAATTGTTAACAATTTCAGCTTGCTCAGGTCCACAATCAATACTATTGAAACTAGCAGCAGTCAGGAAATAAAAAGATGAATTTATTAGGAAAGTCAGCTGTCAGGCATCTCTCCAGAGTGCTGAATGCAAAGATTTCAGTCTAGAAACTAAGGTGAGCCTGATCCAGGCTATTGTCTTCTCAATTACTTGCTATGTATCAGAGAGCTGGACTATGCAAAAAATAACAGAAGAACTGATGCATTTGAATTGTGGTGTTGGAGAAGAGTATTGAACAGACCATGGACTGTCAAGGAACCTCAGAGGTCTGTCCTGGAGAAGGCGAAACCAAGTTGCTCTCTGGAGGCAAGGGTTTTGAAGCTTCATCTCACATACTTGGGCATGTTGCCAAGAAAGACCAGTCCCTCGAGAAGGGTAGCATGCTTGGAAGAGAGGAGGGACAACCCAGAAGAGGAAGTCCCTGGATGACATGGATTTACACAGTGATTGGGGTACTGGGGGCAAGTATGTCAGAGACAGTGAGATTGGCCTGTTGTACATAAGGTTGATGTTAGTTGCAGGTAACTCAATGGCACATTATAGTTGTAGTAATTATAAAAATCCACTAGTTTCTCCTAGGTAGAAAGATGGGCAAACTCTTCTCATGAGATTAAAACTGGCTCTGAAAACCCACTGGAGGGTCAGCTACGGATTGGTTCTGTCTTAATGGTAAACAACAATAAGAATGATAATAAACCATTTGTAATAATAAATATGAGTCCACAAAGAAGCTATTGTTGTTGTTAGGTGCTATCAAGTTGACTTGGACACAAACAGTATGTTATCTTCATAATCTCACTGTGCTTAAATCTGTTATTGCAGTCACTGTGTCAATCATCATTAACAATGTCAGAGTCTTCTTCTTTCCTAATTCTCTATTTTCCAAGAATTTTGCCTTTTTCCAAGGACTAGCCCCTCAAGTTAAGATAACCAAAGTACAAGACAAAGTCTCACTACCTTTGTGTCTAAGGAGCACCTGGATATACTTCTGGGCAACATTCATGTAAACTTTGATTTTATCATTGGATTTTACAATATTGCCTTACTTCTTGGGAATTAATCATCATCTTCTAAATCAGGAGGTTGAACTTGGTAGTTTAGGGAAGGGTAGTCAGACAGAATACTTTAGGGATCATAAGGTAATAGTATAGACAAATGGATAACCTTGTAGATAACAAGCTGGAAGGGCCTTCAGACTAGTAAATTCATTCCACATAAGTAAAGTTCTTTTCATGTGTACTATCAGTCTGGTTTTGGGGGGGGTGGTTTGTTTGTGAGTTTTTTTAATTATACTAGTTTATTTGCAAAATTTTAATGAATTGTTTTTCACACCAGCTCCTTCCTACTTCTCTATGTCCCCCCATCAAGTTGTGCAACCCCATGATTCATTACACACACACACACACACACACACACACACACACACACATATCCTCACGCTTCTGCTTCCATTCTCCCCCCCTTTGGATTCTCATGCTTAGTCTACAATAATAGTTTTATACAGTATTTGTCCTTATGGGTCCAGTCCCTCACAAGTTAGGTAATAATTTACAAAATTATTGCTTCTGCATGCTGCATAGTATTCCATTGTGTGAATGTACCAAAATTTCTCAATCCATTCAATTGTGGTTGACATATGGGCTGTTTCCATGTTCTTGCAATGGTAAAGAATGCTGCTATGAACAATGGGGTACAAGTCTCTGTTTGAGCCTCAGTTCTCATGTTCTCAGGGTATATTCCAAGCAGTGAAATAGCTGGGTCATATGGAATTTTTATGTTCAGCTTTTTTGAGGAAGGCTAAACTGCCTTCCAGGGTAGTTGTACCATTGTATAATCCCACCAACTATGTGTAAGAGTTTCTATCTCACCACATCCTCTCCAACATTTATTACTTGCTGTCCTGTTAAACCTTACCACTGCTACTGGAGTGAGATGGTATCTCATTGCGGTTGTGATTTGCATCTCCCTTATAGGGTAGATCCTGGCAGGGGGGAAAAAAGGGTAGTTGTCTTTTATATTACTCTAGTGAGTTTAAAACTGACTTTGTCACACTCTTTGTTCAGTCTAAATTAAAAGACTACTGACTGATGAACTTTTGTATGCTTTAATAGATAAACAGTTCTGTCATAGTCTGTAGGAAATTGTGCTGCTAACACAAAGTTAGTGGCCTCTCTAGTGGTTGACATCCAGCAGTAGTAGCTCCATGGGAGAAAAATAGGCAATCACTTCGCATGTGATTTACAGCCTCCCAAAAGTTGGAAGGTCACCTAGGAGTTGGTTCCAACTCAAAAGCAATGAGTTTTGAATTTTTAAACTGGTTTCATAAAGTCACAGCTCCTATCCCATTTCTAATAGAACATCCACTGCTCTATGTTCAAAATCCATTTTAAAACCTCTTTAAAAACATTTATTCTATAATGCTGAAATTTAACTTCCAAAGGGCTAGCAGGACCAGGGTTAAGCAAATACAGCTGGACTGAGAATCCAAGCTCTGCAATTAACAATCTGTGAGACATTGGAAAAGCTCCCTATTTGTACGGAGACTCCTTATGATAACTTTAACACCTTCCTCCCATAATTGATGCTGTCATCAAAAAAAGGAGGATGTGTATCCTTTATGCTCTAACCTGACCCATTACAACTGATTATAAGCCATTAATGCTAAAGAGATCCCTTTTATTCTTCACATTGCAAAGAGAAGTGTGAGGGAAAAATCTCATTTTCTCAAGATCTGAAGTTGGTGGGAATATAATGTGATTGTCATCCTCTGAGAAGCAAAGTTCAGTGCTCTGCAAAGCACACACAGAGAGCCACCCACGCACATCCTGCCACTGTTATTTAGGAAGCCGTTTTAATTCCACCAAATAAAAGAGAAAACTGAAGCTAAGCAGCTGTACCTGATTCCTGATTTGATATGTGGACAAAGCGCTTGCCCTCTCTGGGCGCCAGGCTCTCCATCTGTGCAAGACCAGTGTAAAACTGAGCGACCTCTGAGTGTCCTTTGTGCTCAGATATTGCATCAGTACAGCTAGATGGAAGCTCAGCATTGGCTGCCCTGCACCCGGGCTGGCCTGGCGCCAGCTTGCCTCCCTCCTCCCACGGGAAGGGCTTCCCTCCTCGCCGCCCGCTGCGCAGCGCAGAGCCAGCGGGCGGGAGCGGGGGCGACACTCCTGCGCTGCTCCCCAGAGACAAGGCTGGCTAGCCTTCCAACCATCAATAAGGCAGTCTTTTGTCAGCAATAAATTCCCTCCAAAATTAATGAAACAGCCCTTTTAAATTCTCCTGTCATTGCCTCCTACAGCAGGAGCTGGGCTAGGCCTCTTGCATTCTAAATATAAAAGCCACATAAATTGTCTGGAGGAGATATCTAGCTTGCTGGGTCACAATCTAATCTCCTCAACCGCCTACAGAAACAAGGAAAAGGATAGAAACCAGAGATCAATGTTTGATCTCTATTGGAGAAAGTACTCGCTCTGTCATGCACACAGGAGCCCACACACCAGCCAGCACTTGGTGGGCATCCATCTCCTAGGTCACTTCTCTCTGCAGTTTTCTGCAATGTCACCTCCATGATACCAGAAAGGATTATTAAGATAGAGAGATCTCTTGATATTAAGACGCATCTACTATTTTTTATAGGTGAACAAAACAGAGTGCTGCAGTCTACAACCAGGTGTACCAATATATTTAATCATGTTTCTCAAACTTTAATGCATATATATCATTTTAATGGTCTTACCACCCAGATGGAGGGTTGCTGTGAGGCAGAATTGACTGGCAGCTTTCAGTTTGGTTCTGGTTGGGTTAGAGAGTACCTAAAATTATGTGCTTTTATAAAGCTCAGAAGTGATGCTGTTACTGCTACACATCTGACAGCAAAAGCCTGGAAGAGTATAAGCTCCTTTGAAGGAGGACTGGAAGCCATTGAGCTGTCAATCCAAAGGCAGACAGTTAGGTACAACTTGTCCACTGTATGTTTTTAACCCAGCCACTTACTGTATAAAACACTTAGAACAATATCTGTGAGTGGTGGTTGATAATAGTGACATATTGATGGTCCTGCTCTTTGTAGAGGAACTGGACACTCAACATATCTGTTGGCATTTGCTTTAACTTAATCAAGTAAATGACTGGCACCAGCAGAACATTCTCTTAGTAAAGAATGAGGAGATTTTTACCTAGAAATACTTTTCAAAATCATGAAATGTATGTCACGTGAAACAGCACATCAACAGAGAACTGCCTGAAGTGCAGGCTGGGTTTAGAAGAGGCCATGGTACTAGGGATATTATATCTAATGTCAGATGGATCTTGGCTGAAAACAGAGAGTACCAGAGGAATGTCTATCTGAGTTTTATTGACCATGAAAAGGCATTTGACTGTGTGGATCACAACAAACTGTGGCTGACTCTGAGAAGAATGGGAACCCCAGAACACTTGATTGTGCTTATGTAAAACCTATAATTGGACCAGGACGCAGTCATCAGAACAGAGCAAGGAAACAATACATGGTTCAAAATTGGGAAGAGTATGTGGCAAGGATGTGTTCTCTCTCCATATCTTTTCAATTTATATGCTGAACAGGTTATTTGGGAGGCTGGGCTCTATGAGTAGAAGTGTGGCATCAGGATTGGAGGTAGACTCATCAACAATCTGCATTATGCAGATGACACATCTTGCTTGCTGAAACGAGGAAGACTTGAAGCACTTGCTGCAGAAAGTCAAGGATTGCAGCCTTCAGTATGGATTGAGGCTCAATATCAAGAAAACAAAGATTCTCACCACTGGGCTGATTGGTAGTATCATGATACATGGTGAAGAGATTGAGATTGTTAACAACTTCAGCTTACTTGGCTCTACAATCAACACTCTTGGGACCAGCAGCCAGGAAATTAAAAGAGGAATCGCATTGGGAAAGTCTGCTCTTAGAGACCTCTCCAAAGTACTGAAGAGCAAAGATGTCAGTCTGGAGACAAAGGTGTGCCTGATACAGTCCAAGGTCTTTGCAATTACTTGCTTTGCATAAGAGAGCTACACAATGACTAGGGATGAGAGAAGGAGAATTGATGCCTTTGAGCTGTGGTGCTGGAGAAGAGTATTGAATATACCATGAACTGCAAGGAGAACAAACAAGTTTGTCCTATAGAGGGTGAAGCCAGGCTGCTCCTAGGAAACAAAGATTCTGAAGCTTCATCTGACATACTTTGGCAAAGTGGAATCAGTCCTTGGAGAAGGACGTCATGCTTGGGAGGGTGGAGTGACAGTGCAAGAGAGGAAGACCCTCCATGAGATGGATTGATTCAGTGACTGGGGTGATGGAGTTAGGTGTGTCAGAGACACTAAGATTGGCACAGGATAGAGCAGGGTTTAGGACTATTGTACATAGGATCACTATGAGTTGCAGGCAACTCAGCGGCACATAACAACAAAAACAAGTCACATGAAAAGGCATCCTCTGATTGATAGAAGCAAATAACTAACTGTACTTGTTGAAACCGACCAGAGACTCTAAAAATGCCAAACCATGTAGGCACAGAAAAATGGATTTTAATTCCAGTTCAGCCACATAACATAAACTTGAGCCAATAATTCAATTGAAATTAGTACTGATATATCAACAAATGAATAAAATAGAAAGAACTGTTCTGTGTTCATAGATTGGAAGACTCAGATATATTATGACATCAATTATTACTACATTGCTTATAAATGAAACATAATCCAAATTTAAAAAGAATTCCTTGTGCAAGTATTGGCAATCTGATTATAAAATACATAGGAAAGTGTTAAGGACAGAAAAGAACTAAGTTAAGAACTAAAAAAAAAAAAAAGTTAGAACTCAGCACATCAGGCCTTACTATGAAGTTATATAAACCAAGACAACAACACAGTCCTGGCAAAAAAATAGGCACAGAGACTAATGGAGCATATTACCAAATATGGAAATAAACCTACATAAATACAGTCAACTGATCTTTTAAAAATGCTATAAAGGCAATTAAATTAAAGAGAGTAGTTTGTTTTTTTTTTAGTAATTGGTGTTAGAACAATTAGATATCTAAGTCTTAGAAAATTAAACTAAATAAATGAAAATAAAACTAAGTCTAGAGCTTATAAATTGAAGAAAAATTAATCTATTGTGACCCATAGAAAAAATATAAAATATAACATTTTAGAAACTGTAGAAGAAACGTGAAAAAAATCTATGTAATCTCGGCCTCAATAGTGTGTTTTAAAGTACATTACCAAAAGTATGACCATGAAATGCAAAACTGACCATTCAATGTTATTAAAATTGAAGGCTTCTTTTTGTTTAATGACAATATCAAGAATATCTGAATATAGGCTTCATATTAAGAAAAACTATTTGCAAAATACATGTCTGATAAAGGACTTTGATCTAAAATAAACAAAATCCCTAATAACAATAAAAACAAGTGAGTTAAAAATGTGCAAAATCTCTCAGTAGCACCTCAACTGGAAAAATGTGTAGATAAAAGTAAATACACGAAAAAGAACTGAATTGGCAGCCAAAAGGATTTGCTAACACAGAAGACTTTCATGAAACATCATATGTTCAAGAGGCAAAGGTGATGAAGAAGAAATTCAAGCTGCTCTGAAGGAACTGGCAGAAAACAAGGCCCCAGGAATTGACGGAATACTGGATGACATATTTCAACACACTAATGTAGCTCTGGACCCGCTCACTAGGTTGTGCCAAGAAATCTGAAAGACAGGCAATTGGCTAACTGGCAGGAAAGGTCCATATTTATTCCCATTTCACAAAAATTTGATTTGACAGAATGCAGGAATTATCAAACTCACAGTTTATCTACAGAAACCTACTGGAGATACAAGCTGTATTTAGAAGAAGCCATGGCACTAGGGACATAATCGCCAATGTCCAATAGATCTTAGCTGAAAGCAAAGAGTACAAGAGGAAAGTCTATCTGTGATTCATTGACTATGCAAAGGCATTTGACTGTGTGGCTTCCAACAAATTCTGGTTAACCTTAAGAAAAAATGTGAATCACAAGACACTTAAGTGTGCTCATGTGAAACTTATATCTGGAGCAGAAAGCAGTCATCAGAACAGAGCAAGGAAGCACTGCATTACTCAAAATCAAGAAAGGTTCACGTTCAGGGATACATCCTATCCCCATAAATTTTCAATCGGTATGCGGAATAGATCATTTAGGAGGCTGGGCTTTATGAGGAGGAATGTGGCATCAGGACTGGAGGAATACTAATCAACAACTTGAGTTATGCAGATGATACAACCTTACTTGCTGAAACTGAGGAGGGCCTGAAGCATTTGCTTCATAAGGTCAAGGCCCATAGTCTTCAATATAGATTGAAGCACAACATCAAGAAAACAAAGATTCTCAGCACAGGGCCAACTGGCACCACCATGATAGATGAAAAAGAAATTGAGATTGTTAAAAATTTCAGCTTGCCCAGGTCCACAATCCACACTCTTGGTTTCAGTAGTCAGGAAATGAACAGACAAATTGCATTAGAAAATCTGCTGTCAGGGACCTTCCAGAGTGATAAAGAACAATGTCAGGCCATGGTTTTTGCAATTACTTTTATGCATCAGAGCACTTGACAATGACCAAAGATGACAGGGGCGGGAAAGATGCCTAGAGAAAAGTACTGAGCATACCATGGACTGAC